TCGTGTTCTACCTGGGCTGATGAAGCCAGAAACAAGAAAATATATTCCACCTGATTCCAGTGTTTTTATTTATTTTTTCAACTCAGCAAAAACTGATCTGTGATCTTGGCTTATATTCATATGCTCATGAACTTGACTTCTTCATTTATGTCCTTGGGTTGTTGTAGCAGGATGAGGGAGCAAGGAGGGTGGTTACAGGGTTCAAGCAGCATTTTCTGGATTTGAGTGCTGGCTCTTTGTTGATAAAGTGGAAATACCATTGATACAGGTCTGATCATTCTTGATCTCAAAATTTGAAATACTCCAAAACCCCAAACTTTTCGAGCAATACTACAACAGAAACTTGCATACCACAAAATTTTGTTTCATCCACCAAATTATGAAAAATATTGTTTAGCATCACCATCAGGACAAGTTTATAATTTTATGTGAAATGTAAGTGAATTTTGTGTTTATGCTTCGGTCCCATCCCCAAGGTCCATCACTATGTATATGCCAATCTAAGGGTACTTCAAAAAGTTTGTGGAAAATAGATATTGTGAAATAATGATGCATGGATTTCAAAGATTTTTGGCAACAAAATAAACTTAGCAAAAAAGAAATATTTATTTTAATTTTCTTGGAAAGCAGAGAGAGATGTTTGATCTCCTGTTTCATCCCCAAAAATCTGCCACATCCAGGGAAGTTTGGAAATTGAACTCCATCCAGGTGTTCCATGTGAGTGGCAGGGAGCCAGCCACTTGAACCAGGATGCACAGTATTAGCAGGGCTGTATCAGACTCACACCTGACTGCCCCGATATGGGATGCCCCAAGTGGCATCTTAGCCCCCTGTGATGCCACACCTGCTCCAGAGTCCTATTGTCCTGTAAACTCTTTGAACTGTCTTTGTAGTTTTCAGAGCCCCGTATCTGAAACATTTTTGATCTGGAATATTGAACTCATGCTTATTTCTTAGGATTGTGGTCAAGACTGAGTGTTTTCATTCGTGGCATACAACAGCCGAACCATAGTGGTTCATTCTGTAGGAGGAGTGGAGAGCTCCATCTCTAGAAAGAAGTAAGCCCTGGTCTCACAGAGCCAGATCCTAGGTGTCCATTCCCAGCTCTGGGGTTGTTCTCCACAGAGTCTGACTGCCTGGCTGACTGCCCTGCAATTGCTCAATGCTCTGGGTGGACATTCAAGCCTTGGCGTTTTTTCAGAGGCCTCTTTCTGCTCTTCCCTTCTTCCCAGGCACCTGCCAGCTGCTAGAAGTGCTCCTGTTCCTGTCCCAGGCACCTTCCACATGCCACCCCTTCTATCTTGCCTGGCTTTCTTCCTCTTTTTAAACCTGGTCAAGTCTTCTGTCCATCCCCACAGCTGTCCTATAGTAGGTGTTTCATAAAACTTGGCTACTATTCTAGAAGCCAGGCTGTGCACGCGCTGGACCTGACTCCGCTGCTGTGAGCTGGCTGCGCCTGAGCCCAGTTTCTGTTTAGGACTTGCGTTTTCCTGGTAGGCCTGGCATGTCAAAGTCCAGAGTTTTTCTTCCCATTCTGGAGCCACTGGGCTTCTGGGTAAAACTGTCTGGCCAAGAGAGCCAGGCTTTCATTTTTCAGAAAGGAAACCCTTCCCAACTGGTGGAAAATAAGCTTTTGCTTGGTGACTAATAATATAAACACAGACAAGATTTCTGGGTTTATAAATAACGGGTTGTAAAAATGCCCAGGGGGAAGCAACCCGTTTTGCTAGAAGAAAGGCCAGGAGCATTCCTATCACCTCTCTGATAGTGACCTTAACCATGGCAAGGAGCCGGTAGGGAGCGGGGAGGTCAAGGGTGCGGAAACCGGTCATTTTTTAGGACAAATTCCCAAGGCCTTGCTCTTGTACGTTATAAATCCTGGGCTATTCTGGAAAAATAATAGACGGTGTCTAAAGTCCCTTCCTGTGAGTCTGCAGCAGCTACAAGATGTTTGAAAGAGCCGTGCTGGCGGGGAGAAGAGCAAGGCAGGGTTCTGTTGGGCCAGAGCTGCCCAAGAGGCAGATGCGACCGTTAGGAGAGGAACTTCTGTTCATTCAGCATGGGCCAAGCCCCATGCTGACAGCACTAAACCCACGACCAGCTCACCGGTCCCCTGTAGCTGCCTCTAGCACACAGTGGCATTGTATGATTTGCGTAAGCTGAAGAGGAATACAGTAGCTGAGGGCCGGCTTACAGAGTGGGGGATGGTGACCCAGAGCCAGACCTGGCCCCCTTGGGGTAGTTCTCTGATCCGGCTGCCCTGCTGACCAGCCCTGCCCATGAAAATAAGAGGCTGTTTTTATCACTCAGCTCTCATATCATTTAATCCAGTGTTTCCCATGGCATTCTGGGTAGCAGTAGGAATACCGAGGTGGCCCAGGAAGCCAGCAGGACACTGCGGAATCTACGTTGTCCACGGTCTCTCATTTCCCCAGCATGATTTCCTATGTCCGCTCATGGAACCCTGCCTTTCTCCAGGATATCTTGCAGGGAGTGTGTGGGGGTGGGGCGACTCCTCAGTACCTTCCCACAGCAGTCAGCAAGGGGACCAGAGTGAGGGCCGGTCGGACCTACTGAGGAGCTTGGGGAACTATTTGTCCTATTGAGCTGTTATTGAGCTGAAGTGCATTTATGTCTCCGTGGTACCAGACCAGTGTGTTACAAAGAGAAGAACGTGGGCACCAGAGCAGCCTTCTGACCGCTGGAGGCACGGGATGCATGCCTTCTGGTGGCCTCTCAGAAGTCCTCTGTAGTGTAGGCCTTGTTGACTTCCCTGTGCAAGTACTTGCCCTCGTTCTGCCTCCTCCCTACTTTAAAATTAGAAAGCCTTGCAGGTCACTCCATCACTCTCTGGGAGTGTGAGCCATGCATCTTGATGCAGCTCTGCCAATTCTCAAAGCTGATTGTTAATGAAAAGTGCATCGCAGGCTGCAGTCCTGGCGGGAGCCCCAGCCGCAGGGCACACCAAGGCCAGTAGACGCCGGAGCAGCCAAGTTTATCTGGCTGTTCTATCCTCTTCCTCCTCCTCCTCCTCATGCTTCCTACCAGCTCTCTCCCCGCCCTGCATTTTATCAGAAAGGTTTGGCTGGACTTGAAGGAGCCAAAAAGGAACTGGAGGGGCCTGGGCTTCTAGCAGCCAGTAACAAGGCGTGGGAGGATAGGGCCCCAGGCCCAGGGCAGGCTCAAGTTCAACTCAGTTGTTGAATGAATGTGTGTGGTTTGGTGCTAGGCTCTGGGGCGGGGACGGGGAGAGGGGTTGACCAATAATATCAATACCAGCAGCAATAATGATTATGAAATGCTTGTCTCCCATTAAGCATTTAACACCTTGCTTCTGAAGAGAACTGAACTCATAGGATATACACTTTATACTTGACTAAACCGAGCTCAGAGAGGACAAGTTAGAGGCAGGAAGAGGCTGCTCCAGGAGAAGCGGATTCCAGAATGACATGGTGAATTTTTGTTGCTCTTGTTTTTTAAGTTCTCTGCTTCCAGGTCGAGGAGGTGGAGAAATGAACTAGCAAATAAATGCCCACAGTGTGAAAGTGCCCTAAGAGGTGGAGGGAGATGGTGTGGAAACCCCTTCTGGGTTCAGTCTTGACTGATGAGTCGGGGCAGCTTTGGCTGATAGTGGCAGGTGATGCTTACAGCAGTCGGAGGAGCCTGGACGGGAAGAGTGATGTGGTCGTGTGTGAGATGCTGCGAAGCAACCACAGCTCTGCGGCAGGGAGCATGGGAGGTCTGCTGAGAAGAGAGACTGATGGAATGGAGGGAGGCAGGTGGGGGCCCTTCAGGGAGGTTTCCAAACCTGTAGACTCTCAGAAGGGAGAGATTTCAAAAGGGTTGTTACTGATTTTGTCTTTGCTGCAGAGACATCGTAGGTGGAGTCCCAGAGGATGAAACAGGTAGCAGAGGGGAGATTTGGGGTAGGGTGGTGCCAAGGACCTAGAGCTTTATCTCTGTGGCTTCCCTTCCTCGTGGTTGGCTGCTGGATGACTGTCTTGCACCTGACTTAGAACTTGGCTGTCAGAGCTTGGGGAGGAGAAGCACTCCTGGGGTGCTGGGGAGGCTGAGTGAAGAGCAAAGGTCCCCGTTGGAGGAGCCCGGCGGGGGACCCTAGCAAGCTCCCTCTCCCCCGCTGTGACCTGGCCCACACTGGGTGCATCTTCAGAGGGAAGCAACCTGATTGAGGTTGTTCAGGGTTCTTAACCACCAGCACCTGTGGTTTCTCGTTTTCCAAATGTGAAAATGACAGAAATGTACCTGATCATTGTGGTGGGATTTCAGTGAGTCAGTGTCTGTCAGGTCCTCAGAAGCTTCTGCGTACACTTGTGCATGCTGAGTACAAGTCATCATTAGCTGTTTTATTCAGAAAGCATTCAGGAAGTTGGAGTTCACTGGTTTCACTGAGTTTCTGCCAGGTGCTGGGATTTATCTGAGAGTGAACTAGACCCACTCTCGTTTACATTTGAGTCGGAGAGACAGAATGCGTGAAAACACAGAGTGGATGTGTCACCAGGCTGAGGAGATCCCTGGGATAGTGTAGGGATTGCTGGGCCACCTTAGGAACCATCGGGTTTTCTTTGAATGAGCTGGAAAGTCTGCAAAGTTTGGAACAAAGAGATGCCCAGATTGTATCTCCATCTCGGGGCAGGGTAGACCTTTGAAGTTCAAGGACCTGATCCATGGCGAATGGTTGCTAAGTGGTGCTTGTGTCTGTTATTATCCATGAAGTGGTCTGCGGGAGAGCTAGTCTGGTGGAGGGAGCTTGGTGGAGGGAACAGGGCAGGGGTCCTTTAACAATACAAAGGTATGTTCGGAAACAAGAGCTGGGGGAACCTGTCTTAGCACTCTTGGCATCGAATAGGCCCTCCTGTGTCCCTGCCAGTGGGTATGCTTGCTCTTCCCTCCGTGACATCTCCACCTGTCACTCCCTATCTAGTCCTTAGTGAGCTTTATTGCACAGACTGAGCATTTGTTGATGGCTGCTCCCTCCACAGTGTTCGAGAACAAAGACAAGATTGTGATCATCATGGAGTATGCCAGCAAAGGAGAGCTGTACGATTACATCAGCGAGCGGCGGCGCCTCAGCGACCGGGAGACCAGGCACTTCTTCCGGCAGATCGTCTCCGCCGTGCACTACTGTCACAAGGTACCCTGCACCTGGCTGGCAGCTCTGCCCTTCATGGCTTTTCTAGTCCTGCATGACTCTTTCTTCTCCTTCTAGAACCTGTTTTAGTTTTATTTGAAAGACAGAGTTGTAGAGAAGACAAACATACAACACATACACATGCACAAAATCTTTGAATCACTGGCTTATTCCCTAAATGGCTGCAGTGACCAGAGCTAAGCTGAGTGGAAGCCAGGAGCCAGGAACTTCTGGGTCTGCCACATGTGTTCAGGGTCTCAAGGACTTAGGCTATTCTGTGCTGCTTTCCCAGACCATAAGCAGGGAGCTGGATGGAAAGTGGAGTAGCCGGGATACAAACTGGCACCAATATGGGATGCTGGTGCAGCAGGCAGAGGCTTAGCTTATTATTCCACAATTCTGTCCTAATTAATTTTATTTTTCAATTTAAATTTCTATTATTATTATTACTATTTTGTGAAAGGCAGATTTTTACAGAATAGGAGAGATACAGCAAAGTCCTCCATCTGCTGGTTCACTTGCCAGATGGCCTCAATGGATGGAGCTGAGCTGATCCAAAGCCAGGAGCCAGGAACTGATTTTGGGTCTTCCATGTGGGTGCAGGGGCCTAAGGACCTGAGCCATTCTCTATTGCCTTCCCAGGCCACAAGCAGAAAGTTGGATGAGAAGTGGAACAACCGGGACATGAACTGGTACCCATCTGGGATATTAATGCTACAGGTGGAAGATTAACCTATTGTGCCAATGCACTGGCCCCTCAATTTACACTTTTGTGTTGAATGGTTTCACATGTACAGAAGAGTTTCAAAGGTAGAGAGTTGCCACATATACCTTCCTCCGTTCCCCTCATAGCAACATTGTACACAACTGTGATGTGTTTGGCAAAACCAAGACACCAACATTCCTATCTCACCATCAACAGCATCTCAGGTGGTGTTGGGAAGTCACTGGTTTTCCCACCATTGACCTATATCGATTCCAGGGTCTAGTTAGAGCCCTCGGTGCACCCAGTTTGTGTCTTACCTTTTCAGTTTGATATTTTAATCTAGACTCCCTTCTACCCTCCCCTCTGACACCTGCCTCCAGTTGCTGGCTGTGGCCTCGTTAGGCTGTTCTTGGTCAGCATCTTTATGCATGAGTACCTTCCTCTCCTCTGAGCCTTGTTTGTAAGGGAGGCTGCAGAAGTGGGCTCGCCAGGCGGAAGGTCTGGGACTTTGCTGTGAGCGGGGTACCCTTCCTCACCTACCTGCTCATTTCCTTGATTGCATCCTACCTGCTGGGATGGGCTCCTATCTCAACAGTAATGTACCCATCCCAGGTGTCTGCAGTATGGCTCTCCAGAGCTGTGTTCCTTTTAGCCATGATCGATGTATGTTGTAGTCAGCCTTGTACCCAGAACTGTCATCCCTACGGAGGTTGTTTACTTTAGGACCATATGACTCAAACCCAACATGCCATCTTCAATAGTGTCAGTTCCTTCATCCACATTGAGGCACTGTGAGGCCTTTGTGCTTGGGAGCTGTTCTGTTCTGTACATTTCAGAGTGGCTCTGGCGGTCAGGAAAAGATCCTTGTGCCTGGGTCCCCGACCCCACAGCCTGAACCCCTGTGAACTTTAGTTGACTACTCTTAGCTGACTCAAGAGGCATTCCTGATCCAGGCAATGCAGTCTTCTGTACTCAGTCACCAGGTACCACCTGCAAGCACTGCAGAATGTATTTTCATTATTGGGAGCACCCGAACACTTGCATTCTGCATGAAGGGTGCTGTTTTAGACCTATTCCATTTCATTATAAAATCAGCAGTCTAGGGCTGACACTGTGGCACAACAGGTCAAGTTACCGCTTGCCAGTTCCAGTCCTGGCTGCTCCCCCTCCCATCCACCTGCCTGTTGATGCTCTTGGGAAGTTGGCAGAGGAGGATGACCCAAGTGTTTGGGCTCCTGCCAGTCATGTGGGTCACCCAGATGGAGTTGTAACTCCTGGTGTGAACCTGGTTGCAGCCCTTGCTGTTTGAGGCCATTTGGGGAATGAATCAGTGATGGGAGATCTGTCTCGTCTTCTCTCTCTCTCTGTCGCTTTGTCTTTAAAGTGAGTCAGTCTTGTGTCTAGCACTGTGGTATAATAGCCTAAGCTTCTGCCTGCTGCATCAGCATTTCATAAAGGCAATGGTTCATGTCCCAGCTGCTCCATTTCCAATTAAACTCTCTGCTTATGGTCTGGGAAAGCAGTGGAGGACAGCTTAAGTCCTTGGGTGCTTTTACCCATGTGACATACCTTGAAGAGTCTCCTGGCTCCTGGTTTCAGTTTGGCTCAGCTCTAGCTGTTGTGGCCATTTGAGGAGTGAACCAGCGAATGGAAGATCTCTGTCTCTTCTCTTTGGACTGCCTTTCAAATAAAAACAAATCATAAAAGAAGCAAGAATGTAACAAGATGGACCAAGCTTCTCCTAAGACAAAACTGGATTAAGTCAGGTGCTTGTATTCCTTGTGTTTGATCAAGACTAAGTTTTGTGCATTTCTGAATTCAGAACAGTTCCCCAGAGGCTTGCATTAGAAAAGCATAGCAGAAAGACTTCTTTTCCTCTGTCTCTCTCTCCTTCTCTCTCACTTTCCCTCCAGCCAGTGCTTTGGGAGATACTAGGAACTGTCAGATGGAAAAGAAAATAAACAATACAGACCCAGTTGTAAACACATAGACGTGGAATGAAAGGAATCTTGAATGAAAGACATGAAATTCCTAGCCAGTTGGTTTGTTCAAAAGCGTAACTTCCACAGCCATTGCCCTCTGTGCTGAAGGATGTCGGAGCGCACTCCTGTTCACCTGCCCACTCCCAGATGGCCGGCTTTGCAGTCCTACTGCCCTTCTCGTGCCCATTGGGCCTGCAAGATGATTAGGTCTCGGTGCAAATAGGAGGCTGGCTGTTGTGCTGTGTGTGTTGGGCTGATGACTTGCCTGTGCACCTTTCGGCTTGGCTGCCTGCTTGTTCCCAAAGTCCAGTGTCCAGCTATACCCACAGTTGCCTGAATTGAAAAATCACACAGTGTGGTACCCACCTGCTTTGGTGAGGCCAGGGGCCACCATCTCTCACTGGCCTCCCGCCCCCCCCCCATTCGCCTTTCACCCAGCTCGGGCTCTGGGTGGAGGACTCTGAGCCAGAGAGGGGGGATTTTGGAGTCCTGCCTTCAGGTCACTTCAGAAATACCCTGCTGGCCCCGGGCCAGATGCAGGTCAGTTGCAGTTTCCTGGATTGGAATAAGGTCACTTTCTGGCCGGGGGGATGTGGGCAGGCAGGCAGACTCATAGACAGCCGGGCCGGGAGGCTGACAGCACGTGTCAGTAGCAGGAAGGTGCAGCTCTGCTTTCTCTGGGAATCGCATCCCAGACAGATGCTGTGAACCGCTGCTGCCTCTGCCGCCACTGCCGCAGGAGGATTAGGTTGCTTTCACACAGTAGAACTGCGTTCCAACACAGATCCCCCAGCTGTTTTATGGGCTCTGGGGGAGAATGGATTCCAGTCATTTTTCCCTTAACCACACAGCAAGTGACTAATGCTCTTCTGTCCCGGCTGGGTCGCTGGCCGCAGGGGGAGGGAAAGTGGGGTGTGTGTGTTGGGGGATGGGTCATGATAGTGAACTAGGGCGGTCCTCAAGGATGGGGCTGTAGACCACCAGGCTGACTCTCTCACCCCTTCTTTACCTGGCCTCCTCCTTCCTCTTTCCCATGCTCTCACTCCAGCCACCCCAGTCAGCTTCCTCTTTGTCTTCTCGTTTCAGAATGGCGTGGTCCACCGGGACTTGAAGCTGGAAAATATCCTGTTGGACGACAACTGCAATATTAAGGTAAAGCTCTGGCCTCGAGGCTGGAGACACGAGGAGGGGGCGGGCTTCACAGCCAGACAGGGACTGACCCGCTCAGGCCTGGCCGCCGACATGGGGCCTCCCTCTTGCTCTGGCTGTCAGCTCAGCTCAGATGATGAAGTTCCATAAGCATTTATTAGCACCCTGCTGCATATCAGATATTTTCCAGTGTGTTAAGGAGTCTGGGCTGCAGCCGCTGCCCTCGGGAGGCTCCCAGTCTAAGCGTCCCCACAAGAATATTTCCCACACGCGGTCCATTTCCTGTGTTTCGCCTCACACTTGTCCACTGTCACTAAATTCTATCTTCACACTCAGCCTGGGAGTTTGATACTGCCATTTGCTTTATTTCACAGAAAGAAAATGGAGGCAAAGAACAGTTAAATACCTTAGTAAGCTGTGGAGTTGAGGGTCTCTGACCCACCAGCCCAAGTTCAAAGTTCCATGCTTGATTTTATACCTGGGTTCCAGAGTATTTTATTTTATTTATTATTAATTACATTGCATTATGTGACACAGTTTCATAGACTCTGGGATTCCCCCAACCCCTCCATGGTGGATTCCTCCACCTTGTTGCAGTATTACAGTTCGAATTCAGTCAAGCATAGAGTCCAGCGTCTGATTGTCAAGATAAATTTAATGGTATCTTGGGGAGACTATCTCTGGTCTGAAGACAGAGCTGGCAGAATCTCGTCCCGACCAATTCAGAGTATTTTAGAGTGGACACCTGCTCTTTAGCCATTTTATTCTGTTACTCCCAGCACTTCCACCCTCTGAAGTCAGCCGTGGGATGGTGAGGATACTGTGTGCTGCTGGGAAACAGCAAGCCATGGGCTTTCCTTGGAGGGAGAGTATTATTGCTGGCTGCTGTGGGCGCTGGAGAAAGCTGTTGTGTCCCACAGGGTTCAAGTGTGTCCTGGGGAACATTTCCAATGTCCTTTTGATCACGTCTGCAAAATAAGCAAATTTGGTTTCAAAATAAACGGAGCTCCCTGCATGGGTTTCATTATGAAACGGCCTTAGCACTCCCAAGTGTCCGTGGAGACCTCCTATTGACTGCTTGTGACGTCTGTGCCATTCCCAGACAAAGCTTGGGAATGATCTTCTGTCTTCCCCTCTTGCTCTGGTTGTAGTTGCTGTTGATTGAGGGGTGTGTGCATGATGAAACAAGCTGATGTGGTGTCTGGGTTCTGTTGGAAGAGCGGAACACAACCTTTAGTCACAGTCGTCCTTTGAGGGGACTCCGGGAGCTGTGTGCTGGTGACCTCCCTTGCTTGCAGGCTTTAGCCATGTATTTCTGAGTAGTCTGTAGGGTACAGATGGATGGATGATCAAAACAGCTCTGTGTAGGGTAGGAAGTGAAATCTTAGGGTCTCTCTCCATATGTGGCCAAATGGCTGGATTGTGGTAGAAGGAACCCTGGCTTCAGTTATCAAACTCTGGGTCATATGAGTTGTTATGAGCTTGCCATTGAGAAAACCCCTGTACTATGAAATACCCACAGACTCACTTGGAGGACTAGAAGAGAGCTTGTCTGTGTTTTGACTTATAACCTGCCAAGGATTGTTTGTAGGTGAGTCAAGGTTAGAAGCAGTAAGCCTGGAATTGGATAACCTAACTGTTTGGTTGTAGGATGCCAGTTCCTGTCCCTGGGTGAATTGTTCTTTTTAATTTATTTCTTCAGTGAATCTTTGCTGAGCAGTTACTGCATGCAGTGGCAAATGTAGAACTTCTAGACAATGTTATGTTCAGAACAGTCAGTGCTTATTGCTATTACCAGGAACCTGCTCAAGTGGCTGACCATGGGTGAGGGAACCAAACCCAAACTCAGCTGCTCTGAAGGTGCTGGGGTCCTGGCCTTCTAAGGGTGTATGTCATTGACCTTGTTCATTTTCTCTCTAGATTCTTCCTGCCACCTGCCCCCAGAGCTCTCAAAAGGAAATGTAATCTTTACAAGGCCTGGAATGTGAGCCTGCTGCCTGGGGATTGGGTTCTGCAGTACAGTATGACCTCTTGGTCCCATGATGTAGTCCCAGAAGTGATAAGGCGCATAGCTTCCTAGCAAGTCACAGAATTCCCCAATGAGGGGAAGAATGGTTACAATTCTGAAAGCAATTGTGCAGGGGAACAATGAGGGCAAGAGCCCAGAAGAATGGCCCATTTGGAGGCTGTGCCTAGTAGCACTCTGGGCCAAGTTCTCCTTAGGATTCCTGTACATTGGATAGGGAGATGCCATATGAATAGAACATTCTAAAATTAAGATATTGATTAGATCTTAGGTCTTTCTCCTCATCTTTTTCTGGAGAATTTCTATCCTGCTGGTCACACACATGTACACACACACACACACACACACACACACACTACGACAAACATAAACCAAATCTCATTGTATTATAGGGGGCTCATATTGTGGTTCAGTGGAATAAGCCTATACCTGTAATGCATTCCATATTGGAGTGCTGGTTTAAGTACCATCTACTCTGCTCCCTATCCAGCTCCCTGCTGATGTTCCCTGGAAAAGCAACAGGAGATGACCCAAGTGTTTGGGCCCATGTGACCCACATGCCAGACCCAGATGGTACTGCTGGCTCTTGGCTTCAGCCTGGCTCAGCACTGGCTGTTTTAGCCATTTGGAAAATGAATCAGTGGATGGAAAATCTTTGTCTCTTTGTCGCTCTGCTTTTCAAATCACTAAAATATATTTCAAGAAAATTCTTAATTTTTCTCTCTCCTTGATCATGGATTCCTACTAAGGTTGGAGAATCCCAGAGCTTGAAAGAACCCGAAGGGTTGTTTCCCGGTCCTGCTTTTTAATGATTATAATCTAGAAAGTCTAAAATAACATGCCCAAGATCCCAGGGCACATGCTGCGTCTTGGTTTTCCTTGTGTGTAGGGTAGTGCTTGGCACAACTGTTTGATTGTAGAGTGAAAACATGACCAGCCAGGATTAGAACTCCCATGTTTGACTTCCAAGCCAATTTTCTGCCCATCATCTCACACCCAATCTAAAGGCTTTAAAAAAAAGTGTCTCAACTGGCATGGCTTTGCCTTCTGCCTGTATGCGCTCGGCTCTTCCTGACTCAGCGTTTTGCAGAGACATATTTAGCAAGGGCACTTGCTGACAAAGGCAGCCAGACACATGGCTGCAAGCTGCCCTCTGAGCGCAAGAGTGTCCCAGCCATCTGTATCTGGACCCCAGGGACCCTGGATGTAGATGTGTTTCCACTCACTGGTCATAAGCTGCCAGTTCCTCCCTTGGTACCCCCTCTGGTACTTTGCTACATCCGAGTCCATCTTCTGTGCTTCAAGAGTAGAAGACTTTGCCCTGGGGAACCTTGTAAGTAATGCTACTGGTTTAAACTTGTCATGTGTCACTGCTGTTGTGCCATGAACCGTGTAGCTTGCTCCTCTCCCTTTCCTTGCCTGATGTTGATTTGCAAGCAACACATCTGGCATTTAGAAAATGATTTATCTGGCCACTGCGAGAGGGTGTGGCTTCTAAAAATACTCACACAGTCAGGCGGCAGAAAGAATGAGAGCAGTGTGCTTCTTGGGGTTGCATTCCATACTCTGCGGAAGCCTGTCCACTGAAATAGCACCCGGCAGAGCATTAATTTGCAATTAATAAAAACGAGCCAGATTCACATCCCACTCTTTGGGAGAATGGAATGTGGATGATTCCCACAGAAGGCTCCTGTACCAACGCTTGGCCCCGAGAAGACAGCCAACCTCCAGGGCCAGCTGACCCCGGCCAAGAGGGCTGGGAATCGGGTGAGCCCCCAGCACCCAGAGGACAGGGGCAGGAGGGGAGTGGCCCGCTGCCCCCGATGACAATGAAAATGCGGCTGCTACGGATAAGAAAAAGAAGCTTTCAATGGCCAGGGTCCAGATGCAACAGAAACCTCTGAGGCTTAAGTAGAGCCACCCGGGATTTGCTTTTATACATGTGAGAACGCTGCATTCATTCACTCATGTACTAATTGATTCATTTGCTTGTTCAGTTATCCATTTGTGTGTGTCCAGCCTGTGCGGGGTCCTGAGAAACGCAGGGAGGTGTATAGTCTGTACAGCCTAGGCTTGGAGATCAACATTTCTTTCCAACCCAATAGACTTACCTTTTCACTCTATTTCCCACACACTAGAGTGCCCCTATATAAACCAAGCATGCCTACATTCACTCACCTCTTCCTGTACTTATTTCCAAGATGATAATTATTTGATCACACATATATACCATGTTTCTGCTTGCCCTGGTCGGGCTGGCTGTGTGCTGGGGATTTGGTAGTGGATCTTGGCACTCAGAATCTAGCAGTTGTGAAGCCAGCAGTAGCAAGGAGACTGGAATGGAGAAGCGAAGTATATGAGTCCCTGCTGGAACTCCTGGGCCTTATGTCCCTTGAGGGGAGTCTGCAAACTCTAATCTTTCCAATGTGGGGACATGTTCCCAGGCCTAATGATGGACCTGGCTATGTGTCTGTGGCCACTGGACTCCAACAACTGACACCTGTTCAGTTCTACCCTCTGCCAGTACCACCCGCATCTGCCCTGCATCTAAAAGTGTGTGACACACAGCCCTGTTTTGGTCCCTGCTGCAGTCAGCCTCACCTTGTGTGCCGGCAGCTTTGGAACGGCTATGCCCAGGAGACTGTCCACGTGTTGATGGGGGCTGTGAAGCCAGGCTGCCAGTCGTGTGTGCCAACAAGCTGGCCACAGCTGCTCACCACTGCCCACCATCACCCCAGGAAGAAGCCCCCAGCTTGCTGCTTATAGGCCATTTCTTGTCCTGGTCTTGAGTAGGTAGGAGCTCAGATCCCAGCAGAGGGAAGCTGGGCTCTTCCTTTTACTCCTCGTGTGGCCTGCAGCCTTTGCTTCTCGACAGCTGGGGCTTGGGGCTGTCCCAGGTGAAGCAGCTGCATCTGCCAGACCGGACAGGAGCTGTGTGCGTGGCTCTGTGGACAGAGCCCCTGTCCTCCAGAAGCCGCATGTGGTAAAGCCCATTTCCTCACGTTTCACCTGGAAAGCCACAGCCCTGCTTTGTGGAGAGCTGTCCGGCCCAGTCAGCTCCTTGCCAACCCCTCAGGCAAGCTGCCTGGTCACTCTGTACCTTGGTCTCTGCATCTACAGAATGGGGAGGCTGAGGGAACACTTGTCCTGGGGTGGCTGGGAGCACTGAAGGCCTGACAGTGCTTGGCCTGAGGTGGAATGGAGGCTGCTGCTGTTGCAGGTCCCCGGGCTGCAGAGCACTGCCCTGACCTTTGGCCTTTGCTGCCAGAGCCGGGGACAGGGCTCGCAGTGCTCACGTCCTCTCAGCTCAAGATGTGCTTGTTGTGTCATACTTCAGATCGGTCTTTCCCAGTGTGGGTTGTGGAACTAGCCTTGTTCCAAAAATCCTTCCTCGGCTGTTTCACCCACTGTTTTTATTTTGTTCAAGTTGCTTTCAAAAGCAATATTGATTTTCTGAAAGAATCCCTTAGGGATTGCCATAAATGGAGAAGCAGGGTCACTAGGAACCCACGGCTGGTTGCAGCTGCAGACCAGGGCATGCTACGGGCACACTTGTGCCCAGTTCTGACCTTCTCCTTGACCTAATCCAAAGATTTGAGAGGGGCTCAAGAAAGCCACAGTGATTCAATTACTTAATTGCATCAAATTCAAGGTTAAGAGTCACAGTTTTTAGGGTCAACTCAGTTTAAAGATCATGATGTTCACGAACCATGTGGAGTTACAGAGAAGCAAATGGTTGAGATCCACATGTGTGCCATCACTGCTATGAGCATTGTCCTTTGAATTGTTTAATTTTTGCCAGGTCACTCTAGCGGGCAGCTAATCTTTTCTATCCCCATTTTATGGATGGATACACCAAAGCTTTCAGAAAGTCTTCCTTTCTTATCTATAGTTATTTTGACCTCTGTGGTGTTAAATCTTTGCTCTGAAACTCAAGTCTGAGTGGCTGAAGACTTGAGAACCCTGTGTGTGTGTGTGTGTGTGTGTGTGTGTGTGTGTGTGTGTGTGTATGTATGTCTAATATTGCTTTCCAAAAGCAGTGGCCAAGAACGAAGGCTGCTCTTAGTCTATTCTTGTGTCAGTGGCAATGACAGTTTCACAGGGAGGGCCTGGGAGCATGTGTCCCCACTACCTCTGTCCTGGCAAAGCCAGGGCCTCGTCCACTGCAGGCTGAGGCCATTCCGTTCTGCCCTCTGATCAACAGGGCACACTTCATAAAGCTTCCAGCCCACTTGCTGCCAGCAAATCAGGGGCCTTGATAAGAACGTGGAATTCAGAGCAATGAAGTGCCACATGAGCCCCTAGAATGTGTTTACTGAGGGCGGTTGTACACCAGCTGCTTTCAATGACATTCCATTCATTCAGGGACGACTTTCATAAAATAGGCTTATGGTTGGGACTGCATTCTAAACAGAGCCACCCTGGTGTGTGGGCTGGACTGTTCTCTGGGCATGTGACTAGCCGAGACTATTTAAAAGCCTCACATGGAAATCAGCTTGGGGAATAGCAGAAATGTGCAAGGCTGGCTCAGGCTGCAGTAATGTTGGCTCATGACTCAGGGGCAGTGTGGCTCGGTAGTGTGTTGCTTGCCAGATACAGGGCTTTACATTGCTTCTTGTTTTGTGTGTGTGTTTAAAGCTATGTTCTTAACATTTATTTCAAAGTCAGGCTGCAAAGAGAGATCTTCCATTTGCTGGTGCACCCCACAGATGTCCATAATGGTCAGGGTTGGACCAGGGCTGAAGCCGGTAGCCGGGAGTTTCTTCTGGGTCTCCTACATAGGGGACATGACCCAAGCATTTGGACCATCCTCACTGCTTTCCCCAGACTCGTTAGCAGGGAGTTGGATAGGAAGAGGAGCAGCCAAGATGAAAGTTGGTGTCTCTATGGGGTGCTAACGTTGCAGGAGAGGGGACTTTACCCACTACATCATAATGCCATCCCTCTTGCACCTCTTTGCAGGTAGATCTCCTTGGATGCATGGCCAGCCTCAGTTTCCTCATCCGCCCAAGGAAGTTTCAACAAAAGTTGTGGCAGAATATCTGTCTCATTAAATGTACCATTTTAGCCATCCCTAGGCCTGCAGCTCAGGAGCATGAGCTGATGAGCTGTGCTTGTGTTGTTATGTAGATGCAGTCTGGGGCCAGGCCTGACAATTGGAAGTTGTTCACTAAGTGGCATTTACATTTGTGATGATGGATTTGCATTGTCTGTGAGTGATCTGGAGCTTTTAAAACTTCATGTTTCTTCTGGTGACAAGTGTCCCTGTGTGGAGAGGGACAGTGCTCAGCAGCGAGTGGTGCAGACCCGAGGGGTGGATGTGGCACTTGTCCGTTGCCTCGGAGTCTGGGAGGGAAGACACCCGTATATCAGATGTGCTATAATTTATGGGAAAAAATGGATTAGTGTGTGACTTTTCAGAGACCCTTCATCTGTGTACATATTCTTATATATACATGTGCAAGTGGTGCAGTAAAAGGCGAATGATGAGCATGCTTTAGGAAACCAAAGAAGAAAATGAGTGCCATTACAGAAAGGTTAGGTGAAACATTGGCAGGAAATGTGAACATTCTTGAGGAGGTGGTAGAACGTTCACTCTGCAGACGTGGCCAAACTCTGGATGGGTGCTAACGACTGTGGTTGGCAATCAGTGGCCCTGTTGTGTTGAACCATCTTTAGCAAAGACACAGGACTAACAAGAAAGTGGCCATGCAGCCAGCAGACCCAGCCAGGGGCCCCTGACCCACTGCGTCCGCTGTGAATTGATCCAGCGCCCCAAGATCTGATTGGCTGACACAGCTCTCTGCATCTTGCTTCTCTCTGTAGATTGCAGACTTTGGGCTTTCCAACCTGTACCAGAAGGACAAGTTCCTGCAGACGTTTTGTGGAAGCCCACTCTACGCATCTCCTGAAATTGTCAATGGGAGGCCCTACCGAGGACCAGAGGTGAGCAGGTCGCCTGCTGTGTATGGGAGAGAGAGCACGCAGGGGAGGGGGAAGACTGGGAAGACCATATGGAAAGGGCAAGAGATGGATCAGGGAAATTCTAAAAAACTCAAACACGCAAAAAGCAAGCAAAGCAAAATGTCCTATGTGATTAAAAAGCCAGCATCAAACACCTGGAAGAAAATTCTGAAGATCCAGGAAAGCTGAAAGGAGAAAGTTGAGTTACCCACAATCCTCTACCAGAGGGTCAGCACTTCACAATACCTGTGAGCTTCCTTTGAGGCTTTGGGCAACGTGAGCTCTCCATTTCAGCAATCATTGAGATCAAGCTCCTCAAACTCGTGCGCATATGCATGTCTCACCTCCAAATGCATATCGTGCTGTTACAAACTTAGAATTGTGACATGCAAACATGATTTTTAATGACAATATAATGTTTCATGGTTCGAATATTGTATTTCACACTGGCCACAGACTTTGGACACTCGGTCTTCTCTTGGTATATTAACTAAAGAGGGGACAAGCAAGGAAACGGAGAGCCCCAACTCTGCAGCGACTGTCTCATATGTACTTGACGACATGTGCTATTTTGCGGAGGAAATAGTCTGCACCCCCCAGAAAGATTTTAATTGCACCTTCTAATTCCTGAGAAATGTATTTCTGTACATTCCTGAAGTTTTAGGGGAGATATGAGTACGTGAACATTTTAATTTGAAAGTGGATGAGTTGCAAATGACTACTCTGTTAGGGAGAAAAAAGTCTGTTTACAGAGAGAGGGGGAGTGAGCGATTCAGCCACTCCATGCCCTTTAAATAGCAGCTGCTTAATATGCTGAAATGTTGTCTTCCAAATATTTATCCATTTGAGTGTGTTTGGGGCCAGGAGACTGTACCAATCACCAGGAAGAGAAAAGTCTTTGAAAAACAAGATTGCGAGGGAGGAGCCTGGGGCTCAGTTTGCCCATTCTTAGAAAAAACTCACTCGTAGGCCACACATTCATCGCGGATAAGCGAGTGCTGCTTTCATCTTTTTGGATCTGTTTCCGAGGTTACCAGCTGACAGCCTGTGATCCGGCCAGCAAACATGCTTTATTTGGCCATGTTAGTGTTGCTATAAAAAAAAAAGGGGGGGAGCATCATTAATAATTGGGGGAAGAGTTCTCACACACACACATACACACACACACACACACACACGCACACAAAGTTTTGTTTCTTACTGCTTTTCCAAAACCAAAGGCCCTGGTCCTGCTCGGGCCTGCGTTCCTACAGGCCGAGGTTGCCTGCACTCCATGGTTTGTCCTCAGCTCTCCACGTGGTCTGGCTGCCTCTCGTTTGCAGTGTCCACGTTTGTTGTCTGCCTGGCTCCTATGAGGTTTGAGTTTGGAAATTCCTGATACAGGAAATTCCTGAGGAGATACAGGAAGGCTCTGAGTCCCAGATTAGGAACTAAGAGTCCTGCGTCCCAGCCGTCACTTGGGACTGGGTCCCCGGAGAAACCATTTGATGTCCTTGTACCTCAGTGTTGTCATCTGCCAAATGGGGCTGCAAATGGGCCTGCCTATACCTATTTCACAAAGGCTCAAAGAGGATCATGGGTTTGGGAGGGGTGTTCAGTCAGTTTGGCCTTTGGTTAAAATGGAAAGGCTTGCTATGCCGTCATCAGGCTGGGCTGGGAGTCTTTCTCCCAGATGTTAAGTTCATCAGACTGGGGCCGAGGGAGGTGGCTGTTCCCGGGCTGTGGCCCCCGGGAAACTGCATCCCATCCCTGTACACCCTGCCTCTCTGCTGCAGGTGGACAGCTGGGCACTGGGCGTGTTGCTCTACACTCTCGTGTATGGAACTATGCCCTTCGACGGTTTTGATCACAAGAATCTCATCCGGCAGATCAGCAGTGGTGAATACCGGGAGCCCACGCAGCCCTCAGGTGTGTGCCCTGGTGGGGCTGCAGGTTCAGGGAGGGTGTGGTCGGGTTATTTCCTCAAGGAGTCTCCTGCTTTCTCTCCTTCTTCTTTCCAGAAAAGCCATTCTTTTTTTTTTTTTTTTTATAATAAAGTGAATAATGGCCCAAGGTCTTGGAACCCTGCACCCATGTGGAAGACCCAGAAGAAGCACCTGTCTCCTTGCTTAGGATTGGATCAAGTGCTGGCTGTTGTAGTCATTTGGGTAGTGAACCAGAGAAAAATGGAAGATTTTTCTCTCTGTCTCTCCTCTCTGTAAATCTGCCTTTCCAATAGAAATAAATTGATTTTTATTTTTTTCTTTAAAACGACGAAGTATCCAAGACTTGAAGTGGCACCCATATAAGATGACCGGCAGAGTTTTAGCCTCAAGTGTCACAATGCCAGCCAGCCCTTGAAAGAGTTCCCGAAAAGATTTTATATATTTATTTCTTTGACATGTGTGCAGACAGGCTTGTATGCATTTGTACTTAGAGCATGAGAGAAGGGAGAGAGAGAAAGAGAGAGACTTCCTATGTGTTGGTTTATGCCCCAAGTATCTGCAACCAAGGGGACAAATGGAGGCCTGAAACAGTCTCGGTCTCCTGTGTGGGCAGCAGCACCTGCCCAGGCTGCACTGACAGGAAGATAACCTCAGGAGTTGGATACCAGAGCAGGTGCCCGGATCTAAGACACAGGCATCTCGTCTGAATGCTGGACTCATGCTGACACGAGGCTCCCAGGAGTGTTTTAGCAAGTAGGCCAATGTGTAAATCAGAATTCTCAGGTGATGAAGATCAACCGTCGTGTGCGTACTTTAAAGAGAAACACATCCCTCTCTACATGTGTTTTCAGCAAGTTAACCTGTTGTTTTTGAGAAAGCTTGGGCTGAGCTCCGTGGTGGGCGTATTTGCTTCACCAGCTAACTTGCCCCAGCACAGTTCCTGGCATGTTGTAGGGGGTGAACGTATGTTCGTCCTTCTGGTTTTCAGGGGTACAGTTAACCCAGACCCCATATTTAGGCTTCCGTAAGTTTTATATCAGCCTGTGTGAATGATTAGAGGAAAGTGGTCCTTCCCAGGAGATAACTCAACCTCCTCTGGGGAAATACAGTTTGAATTTTAAAAAATACTTATTAATTTATTTGAAAGGCAGACTTACAGAGGAAGGGAGAGAGATCGTCTATCTGCTGGTCACCCAGCAAATGATCTTAACAACCAAGACTGGGCCAGACGGAAGCCAGGAGCCTAGAACTCCATTCAGATCTCCCACGTGGGTGGCAGAGTCTCAAGCAGTTGGACATCTTCCACTGCTTTTCCAGGCACATGAACAAGGAGCTGAATCAGACGTGGGACAGCTAGGACTTGAACTAGCACCTCTAAGGGACATTGGCATAGCAGGCTGTGGCTTAACTTGCTGTATACCATAGCTCTAAACCCATCAGCAGTTTGATCTTAAAAGTTCATCAGCTCTGTGGTTCCCATGACTTTCACCACATCTGTTTGGGGGCCTTCCCCCTAATTCTCTATCAACAGAAGTTTGCAATCAGGATTTTTTGGACAGACTGTGAGTGGGTAGCAAAGATCGTAGACTAGCTTGGTAGAACGTGGCTTATGTCAGACAAGGAAAGGGGGTGAGCTCACTCTATGAGGATCTCAGAACCTGGCAAAGAGGGCAAAGGTTGTTTGAATTACCCATGGGTGTCAGGTAAGTGCCCCTGAGCTCTGCTCTGTCCTCTGCAGTTTCCTGTTGACCACGGGTGCTACATGCGTGCACAAGCCAGCCTGTGGAGGAATAAAGCAAGCTGAGGTGATCCACACCTGTCTTCCCTTTCCATAAAATGGTGCTCACCAAGGGAATGGTGCTCACCTGCTCACGGTTCTTTCTGATGACCTGATCAGGTCTGACTGGACAGTTCAGCACTTCCAGTGTCTTTGCTTGTGTAGAAGAACGTGCCAGGATGTGATGGCTTGCTGGCCCGAGGTTCTGAGTCTTGATTAGGCATTGGCTTGCTAAGGCGAATGTGTCTCTGTAGGCACTCCCAGAGGGTCACCTGTGTCGCAGAGCCACAAGCTCCCCTGCACTGCCTGACTCCACGTGTGCCTCTTTCCCTGCAGATGCTCGAGGACTCATCCGCTGGATGCTGATGGTGAATCCGGATCGCCGTGCCACCATCGAGGACATCGCCAACCACTGGTGGGTAAACTGGGGCTACAAGAGCAGTGTATGTGACTGCGATGCCCTTCATGACTCTGAGTCCCCACTGCTGGCACGGATCATTGACTGGCACCACCGTTCCACCGGGCTGCAGGCTGAGACGGAAGCCAAAATGAAGGGCGTGGCCAAGCCCGGGGCCTCGGAAGTCGTGCTGGAGCGGCAGCGATCGCTGAAGAAGTCCAAGAAAGAGAATGACTTTGCCCAGTCTGGCCAGGACTCAGCACCCGAAAGCCCGTCCAAGCTGAGTCCCAAGAGGCCTAAGGGGATCCTGAAGAAACGAAGCAACAGCGAGCATCGTTCTCACAGCACAGGCTTCATTGAAGGTGTTGTGGGACCCGCCATGCCTGCTGCCTTCAAGATGGAGCAGGACTTGTGTCGGACTGGAGTGGCCCTCCAGACCTCCCCGGAGGCAGATGTGCCGGGCAAACTCAGCCCCAAGCAGTCGGCCACGCTGCCCAAGAAAGGCATCTTGAAAAAGACGCAACAGAGGGAATCGGGTTACTACTCATCGCCAGAGCGAAGCGAGTCCTCTGAGTTGCTGGACAGTAATGATACCCCCGGCAGCGGCCTCCCGTCCCCCACGCCCCCAGACCCAGCTCGAGGTCCCTCCCACAGCCTCTCCTGCCGGAGGAAGGGCATCTTGAAACACAGCAGCAAGTACTCGGCGGGCACTCTGGACCCGGCGCTCGGCAGCCCTGAAATGCCCACACTGGAATCCCTGGCAGAGCCCGGCATCCCGGCCGAGGGCCTGTCGCGGAGCTATAGCCGTCCCTCCAGCATCATCAGCGATGACAGCATCCTCTCTAGCGACTCTCTGGACCTGCTGGACCTGCAGGAGAACCGGCCTGCTCGCCAGCGCATCCGCAGCTGTGTCTCGGCCGAGAACTTCCTCCAGATCCAGGACTTCGAGGGGCTCCACAACCGGCCCCGCCCCCAGTACCTGAAGCGCTACCGAAATCGGCTGGCGGATAGCAGCTTCTCTCTCCTCACAGACATGGATGATGTGACTCAGGTGTACAAAAAGGCTCTGGAGATATGCAGCAAGCTCAACTAGCCCTGGGGGATGCGGGCGTCGGGCAGTGGGACTGTCTGTTGGCTGTGACGATAGACTGGCAGCATTAGCACCATCGCATCCCAGCCTTGTTTGCAGCCTGAGCACCTCAAAGGGAGAAGCTGCTGCCTGCCAGCTCTGCCAAGCGCCAGTCAGAATTTGGGTCCCAGCTAGCATTTGCTCTGTGGCACCTGCTGCAGGACTGGCTGCCTAGGGAAAGTAGTGGTGTTAGCCAGCCTGTGAGGGGAGGGAGAAACAGAGGATGAGGAGGGAGAAGGGTCTTTCCCTAGAAGTCATGTACAAACTTCTGGAGGTGGGGCCAGAAAAATGAGAGCCACCTGCTTGGGATACAGCCAACGAGCTTGCTGTGCTTGTTTTCTCCTGGTATCATCAGGCTTGGTCTGTCTGGCAAGTGGATTTCAGCAACCTGAGCTTGAATTGATGATCTGTTGGGTGAGCTGGTTTGAGTAGTCCAGGCCTATCGGGGAGTGCTGTGGTTGACTAGTAATGGTTGCCACGGGAACGGGAAGGGAGGCAATGGCTTTCGTGTCACTTAGTTGTCATCCTAGATTTGGCCAAGTCCTGGGACTTAGCTCAAAGCATCCTATGGGGTCTACATTGGGATTTTTTCCCACACCACTGGTGTGGTCTTTGTTACATTAGCTCTTCTACCTTGAATGGAAGGCAGGGCCCTGGTCAGAGAGAGAATGTGTTGAACTCTGCTAAGGACGTAGAATCACACCTTGGTGATTTTTCAGCTCCTCGCTATCTGCCATCTTTTTCTAGCCCTTCTTCTGACCTGGAACCTCCAAAGTGGGGACAGAGAAGGAAGTTGGTGGCATCAGAGGCCAAAGTGATCATGTAGGCCAAAGTGATCATTCCACATGAGTGGAATTTGACGTACATCAGCAAGGGGCCATGTGCCACTCTGCTTTCTCTCTGCTAACTGGAATGCTGCTCTTCGGGCTCTCACCTACAGACGCTTTGAATCGGATGTGACACTAGATGCCGAAGGATTTCCCAGCTGAGTCGTGGTGCCTGGGGTTCCTGGATTTTCCTGTCCCCTGAGTGTAAACCCCTCAGAGAGAGAGGAGGTGGCTTTTAGGAGTTAGTGTATAGATGGGATGTTTGGATGAGGAAAGATGGGCACAAGGTGCTTTATCCCCCTGATAGACCAGGGTTGAATGTCATGCTTTTGAACTTCACTATGAACTCCTGGACTTTGGGGGAAAAGAAAGTTCCATTCATTTAATGGGTAAGATGTGAAAAAGAATGGAGCAGGTTGGGAGGAAGCATGTAAGAGAGAGGAAGCGTCTCTTTAGCTGTCGTCCAAATTGTTTTAGAAGACGCAGAAAGGAAGTAGGACAGAACTCTTAAAAATACGTTTTTTAGAGCTAGATTTATAGTTCCCAAACATCCAGGTTACAGGTGAAAAGGTGCCACGCCCATCATGGGATATCGCTAGGAGCTAATAATGGTCTTTTGGGGGATGACTTCAGATTCTATTGGCCGAGGCCAAGAGAAATCCTTGAATCGGATGGCTGGCTTGAGGTAGCCACTTGGGACTGGTTTGGGGCTGTCATTGGGAACATTGAACAACAGTAACTCACAGGGAGATGGAAAATTGTTTACTGATAGCACTAAGAGCATCCACTAGGGTGGGGATGCCTCTGTCCGCTCCCCTTGTCCGCTTTACACTTCCATCAGGTGGAGTGATGCGTCACAGGGGGCTGCCCACCATCCTACCCTTCAACCCCACTGGCTTTCTGAATCCCAGAAGGTTAAAAAGACAAAAAAACAGTCTCTAACTGACAAATTAATGGTTCGGGGTGTGAGAGTGCCTGGAGGGCAACCCACAACTTCTAGGCACCTTGCCCTCCTGCCACCTTGCCGGCTGCTTGCACGCCAGCCTGGCTGGTGGCTGCCCCTGTGACGCAGGCATCACACCTGCCTGTCGGTTGCTATTTCTTTCCCTGTCACCAAGTGATTGAATCTTCTCCATAGTTCCCAACAGTCTAGTTTTTTAAGTATAAAGGACGTTTATTAGGGAGAATCCTTCTCCGTCCTTCTCCCTCCCTGAAACTCGAACATGTTCCCTTCTGACAGACAGTGGACGTGGTCAAGAACCTCCTCCATCTAGAGGCAGACTCTGAGCTGTTTGCTTTTCCATCAGCTGTGAGGTTGCTGGTGGCGTTAGAGGGTGTATGGTTTCTTTTGAGAGGGGTGGCTTCGCTGCTGGCCTCTCTGACCTTGTCCACTTCTGACATCCTGTCGACATCCTCTGTGGGAAGTCCTGGAAAATAGCTCCCTGCTTTCTCAGTAACCCTCCCACCCCTAGCAGCTAAAGAAGTCATGCCTGATTCACTTGCATGGAATTACCAGTGAGGGACCCTCTCATGACCTGGGGGGCACTGCAGGAGGATGGTTGTCAGTACTTCCGGTCTATGCCTCCAGGGGGGCTTCTCAGCATCTTAGTTTACACATCTGCCAAATGGGGTAGAATTCTTTCTTTTTGCAGGTAAATGTCAAGGCATGATCAGTTTTCAGGAAGTGCTCCAAGACCTTAGGCAAAAGGAAAGTGCTATGTTCCGTCTGAATGTCCAGCCCTGTCCCCAGGTGCTGCCTGCCTCTGCAGTCCGAGCAGGGAGCACTTCTCAGGGGTCACTTCAGGCGAGTTCTGTGCAAGCCTGCTGTCTTGAGTACAAATGTGAATGATCAACTGACTGCTTGTTGCCAAACTGGAAAATGTTCTGTAGGGATTTACTGGCATGGTATCATTCCTAGATGATTAAAAAAAAAAAAAAGAGAGAGAGAAACTTGACTGCACATTTTTTTAAATCCATATTGTGACTTTTATTTAATTTCTATTTTTTTTTGGTAATAAAAAGTTGACTTTTTTATTTGAATTTGTCTTTTTTATTTATTGGTCTGAAAGGCATTTCAAAGGTATTATAATAATATATTGGTGTAATTTAATTGGTGCAACATGCTTTATGGTTCCAGTCAAAATTGGTTTTCATTCATTGGATTGGTTTGAGCCCAGAATAGCCTACAGGGAAAACAAACAGAACAAAACTGGACAGCCACTCAAAGTGTTTGTGTTTTCATTGGTAACTGATTTTTTTCATTTTTTTGTTTCTGTTTTTACTATTAAATTAAATAAAGTGCTGATGAATTCAACTAAACTGGGACCTTGCTTCTTTCTTCTGTTGTTGATCTTAGTTCAGTAGGTGCCAGGGTGGGTAGAACTAACTGCAGCCTACCCAAATAAGCCATCAGAGGAAAAGGGAATTTATTCGGGTTTCGACAGTGCAGCTGGAGCCAAGATGTGGACATGTAGGGGACCATAGAACCATAGAATTTGGCCCAGTGCATTAGCCTAATAGCTAAAATCCTTGCTTTATGCATGCCGGGATCCCATATGACCGCTGGTTCTATTCCCAGAGGCCCTGTTTCCCATCCAACTCTCTGCTTGTGGCCTGGGAAAGCAGTCGAGGACAGCCCAAAGCTGTGGGACCCAGCACCTGTGTGGGAGACCCAAAAGAGGCTCCTGGCTCCTGGATTTGGATCGGTGTAGCTCCAGCCATTGCGGCCACTTGGGGAGTGAATCAACGGATGGAAGATCTTCCTCTTTGTTTCTCCTCCTCTGTATATCTGACTTTACAATAAAAATAAATATTTTAAAAAAAAGAACCATAGAATCAAGTACGCCTTTATCTGCTCCTCCTGGTGTCCCAGCTTTCTTTTATCCTCCCTGATTGTATGTCCCCGCTTGACTTGCCCCAGAGCTTCCATGTGTACAGATTCTTATGCAGATTCCTTCAAACTAAAGAGATGTCATCAAAGACCAACATTCAACCATGCTCTTTCCCCACTCTTCAACTTCCTTTGTTTCCCTCTTAGGGGCTCTCCTATCCCAATGGTGGACAAACTCCATCTGTTGGGTCAGAGTCAAGATCAATGGGTCACTATTTTCTACTGGGCAAGTCCCTGCTCCACCTATGCTGTAATGACATTTGAGCCCCATTTTGCCATTGTTTCTATAAAGAGAAAGATCTTGGAAAGGATAAAGGGTGCTAGGGTGAGGTTGAGATGTTCCTGGGTCCTGGCTGTAATAGCGTATGACATTAAACTATGCTAGACAGTCATGCTATGCACCCAGTAGTAGTTTGTGGAATCCATTCAGAACAAGGTTCACTTTCCAAAGAAAATACCACTTGCAGAGTTGATCTACTGGAAGAATACCTGATGTAGCATCTTCACATTTAGCAAATAGAATTACAGCATGTTCCGTTAAATCTCAGCTACAGATAAACAATGGGTGATATTTTAGTCTGAGTACAGTCCAAGCGATATTTGAGTCATGCTTATACTGAAAATGAAATTATGTGATGTTTGAATTTAAGTTGGCATTCTGAATCTGCTCAGCAGTCTAATCTGCTGGCACTTAATTGACTGTATTGAGCAGGTGTGGGTCAGTTCACCAGTGACTTGGGGAGTGGATGCTTGTAATTGTGGGCTGCCAAATGAGAATGTGATGATGCTGATCCAACTGGGATGAGGTGGAAGGAGTTCCAATCCAGTTTGGACTTCATGACTGCTCCTGAGTCAATATTGCTATACCTCTGTGGGTGTTGTTTTTCTCATCTAATAGGTATATTGTGATTTAACCCATCTCTAACATGGCTGGTGAAGAAGAAAAGGGGGAATTTTTATTAAGTTACCTCTTGAGTATAAAGCTCTTTGTGAAGGGCGAACAGTAATCCTCTCTTTCCGGGGCAATGTCCAATGACTTACAATGCGGCATTAAAAAGCAATTTGCTCGGGCCCTAGGCTCTTAATCTTCCACTGCAGTTGCTGCACCATTAGCAAATGGGCAGTCATTTAGAGAGTAAGGGACTAGGAGGAAGTTTGCTTTCAAGTGAAATGCTCTGGAAAAACATAGTTCTGCATGTTGTCAACTGTTGCTGGAGTTAATGGGCAGTGTTCATGTTAAGGACAGAAGTTCAACGA